GGAGGAGGAGGAGGAGGAGGAGGAGGAAGCGAATACTTCAGCTCTCAGGGATGTATGATCTAAGAGGACTGTAAGGATGACTGCACAGATGCCCACATCTGCTAGGTTTCCATGCAGTTTCACATGTGCATTTCACACAGCAAGTCAGTGGTAGGATAGTATCCAAATCTTCAAGAGTATTTGAGATCAGCTACAGTTTTTGCTTCCAGGAAGATGCCAGAGCTGTGGTGACCTCAAAGGTTTTGCAGTGAATGTCATCGTTATTTTCTTGCACTCCATAGGCCAAGGGGAATTGAAAAACTCTTTCTAGAGTGGCAAGTTACTACAGCAATAAAGGTTTCTCTTTCCTAAGACCCAAACCTCAAGGTTTGCGCTAACAGACTAATAAGAACACTTTTTAAAATGTGGTACCTTTATAAATACAAAGAGCATAAGTCTTAAAAAATCATTTTAATGTTAAAATAAACTATCCTACCATATTTTGGACCCAAGAACTACTATCAGAGCAATATGAAAATACTAATTTTTTAAAATATAAAAATGAATACCAATTCCCCAAGAATATAATTAAAATAAAGACTTAAGCCTATCTGCATAACTTACTATATGATCAAGCACTACTGTAAGAATTTTACATGTATTAATTCATCAAGTCTCGTACCAATCCTTTGCTACATTATTCCTATTTCACAAGTAAGAAAACGACGTGTTGACAGGTGGCATGCATCAGCTCTCACACTGCATGAACAGGACTTTTTTTGCTTTCTAAACGCTAAGGTCTGAATGCTTGTGTCTCCCCAAAATTCAAATGTTGAAACCTAAGGATGGATGAGATGGCTCATGCCTGTAATCCCAACACTTTGGGAGGCCGAGAAGGGAGGACTGCTTGAGGAGTTTGAGATCAACCTGGGCAACACAGCAATACCCCATGTCTATTAAAAAAAAGAAAAGAAAGAAAGAAACCTTACCCCTAATGCAACAGTATTAAGAGGTAAGGTGAGACCTTTTTTTTTTTGAGTCACTCTGTCACACAAGCTGGAGTGGCACACTCACAGCTACCACAGCCTCGAACTCTTGGGCTCAGGTGATCCTTCCATCTCAGCCTTCCAAGTAGCTGGAACTACAGGCGTGCACCGCCATACCCAGATAAGTTTTTGATTTATTGTAGGGACGAGGTCTCACCAAGTTGCCCAGGCTGATCTCAAACCTCTGGGCTCAGGCAATCATCTCGCCTCCACCTCCCAAAGTACTGGAATTACAGGCGTAAGCCACCGTGCCCGGCAAAAGGTAAGGCCTTTAAGTGGTGACTTGGGACTGGGCATCGAGGCTCACACCTGTAACTCCAGCACTTGGGAGGTGGAGGCAAGAGGACTACCCGAGCCCATATGTTTGAGACCAGCCTGGGCAACTTGGTGAGACCTCATCTCTACAATAATTCAAAAAATTAGCCAGGCATGGTGGCACACACCTGTAGTTCCAGCTACTTGGAAGGCTGAGGTGGAAGGATAGCCTGAGTCCAGCAGGTTGAGGCTATGGTAGCCATGACAGTGCCACTGCACTGCATCCTGGGTGACAGAGTAAGACTCCAGCTCAAAAAGAAAAAGATTATTTGGTATGAGGATGGAACCCTCATGAATGGGATTAGTGCTCTTATAAAAAAGGCTAAAGCCTGGCCGGGTTCGGTGGCTCGGCCTGTAATTCTGCACTTTGGGAGGCTGAGGTGAGTGGATTGCCTGAGCCTGTGGGTTTGCGAGCCGCCTGGGCGACTTGGTGAGACCTCATCTCTACAATAAATCAAAAAATTAGCTGGGCGTGGTAGCGTGTGCTTGTAGTTCCAGCTACTTGGAAGGCTGAGGCAGAAGGATCGCCGGAGCCCAGCAGGTCAAGTCTGCAGTGGCCAGGACTGCACTTCAGTCTGAGCGACAGAATGAGATTCCAACTCAAAAAATAAAAATATAAAAAAATAAAGACACCTGGTCCTTTAAAAAAAAAAGGCTAAAGGGAGTGTGTTTGTCTCTTCTGCCATGCGAAGACATATGGAAGGTGCCACCTAGGAGAAACGGGCCCTCACTGGACACTGAATTTGCTGGTGCCTTGATCCTGGACTTCCCAGCCTCCAGAACAGTAAAAATAAATTTCTGTGGTGGGGTGTGGCGGCTTATGCCTATAATCCCAGCACTTTGGCAGGCCAAAGCAGGAAGGCTGCTTGAGACAGGAGTTTGCGACCAGTCTAGGTAACAAAGCAAAACCTCATCTCTACAAAAAAAAAATTAGCTGGGTGTGATGGTACATGCCTGTAATTCCAGTTACTTGGAAAGCTGAGGCAAAAGGATCACCTGAGTCTAGGAATTCAAGGCTGTGGTAAGCTGATTGTACAACTGCACTCCTCAGTTGGGTGACAGAGTTAAGACTCCGACTCAATAAATATATAAATACATTTCTGTTATTTTTAAATTACCCAGTCTAAGGTATTTTGTAATATTGGCATAAATGGTCTTAGATACTGAATTATAGCATAATTACATATTTCTCACAAGTAGAGCACACCTGAAATGGAAAGAGACTTAGAATTGTCCTCAGAGCCCTGCAATTTGGGAACCTAAGCCACGTCCTCCGTGACCAACCTCTGACCTTCCTTGTTCCTGACCCTGGAGAGTCAGTCTGTCGAGAGTAATGCTGATTTCTGCCCCACTACACCCTTCTCCACTCTTTGGAAGCCATCTTGTGACTTTTTGTATTCCGTGCTGACCCAGAATTCCTTCCTGTCCATCGTACATCATCTGCACGCAAATGCTGGGAAAACCCCAGCAGCTTCCCCCAGAGGTTGGAACAGGCAAGATGCACACAGGGCAGTTTGTCTCTTGCTCCTGAGACAGTCTATCCACACAACCAGGTTTTGGATGGAGGGTAAACAAGTATTTTTCTGGTTCTGTTTTTGCCAGGGAGTCTTTGCAACTTATTTAAACTCCAGGTTCTACTCACCAGTTGACAGGCATGCTTTATCCTCTCCACAATCCCATCCAGTCCCAAGTATTGTAAAGATAACCAAAGTGGTAGGGCACGGAGTTTGTCTGCTGGCTTGTTTGATGTAAGACCAGCAACTAAAGTCTAAGAAAGCAATACAGGTTTATTAATTGAAGCCACTGAAATCTCCAACAGAACTATTAATAGCTACCACTGAGACACACGGGGTATGTGACAGACATAGCTATGCTGGGCACTTGGCTTGCATTATCTATCTGATCTCTCAACAACTCGATGAGGTGAGTAAGTATTCCTGGTAACTTCACTCAGAGACCTTGCTGAGTCCAAGTGTCCCAACCCAGAGCCGGAGCTCCTGGCCATTCAAGAGGCATCTCCTTCCAAGGTGGTCCTGTGCATCCTCAGATATCTGGCTATGACCAACTGAGCAAGACACATCAACTGGTTTAGCAGATACCACTTAAAGCTTATCTTGCACGTGCCTATTATTAACTGGTCTATCATCAAAAACCACAGCTATGATTAAAAAATACATTACAACCTATTGGATAATGTGAGTCAGGAGCCTTACCATGCTCCCACTCAGAAATTCCACATCTGGGAACCTATTCTAAGGAAATAATTTGAAACACAGATGTTCATGGTATCACTCCTCTTTCAGTAACAAGAACTTGAAAACAACCTAAAAGTTCACAAATAGAGAACAGATTGTGACAGAATATTATGCAGTCACAAAATGTCATAAAAATTCTTCACACACGTGAGGAAGTATAATGTAAATAAACAGAAAAATATATATAGTATGGTTTTAATTGTGTTAAAATTTTCTTTTGAAAAATGTAACAGTTTGGGTGTAGTGGTTCATGCCTATAATCCCAGCACTTTGGGAGGCAGAAGCGAGAGGACTGCCTGAGTCCAGGGGTTCGAGACAACTTGGTGAGATCTTGTCTCTACAATAAATTAAAAAAATTAGCCAGGTGTGGTGGTGTGTGCCTATAGTTCCAGCTGCTTAGAAGCTACTTGTAAGGCTGAGGCTCACAGGTTTGAGACCAGTCTGGGCAACTTAGTATGACCTCATCTCTACAATAAAAAAAAAAAAATAATTAGCAGTGCGTGGTGGCACTTGCCTGTAGTTCCAGCTACTTGGAAGGCTGAGGAGGAAGGATCGTCTGAGCCCAACAGGCTGAGGCTGCGGTGCTTGTGAGCATGCCACTGCACTCCAGCCTGGGTGACAGAGTGAGATTACGACCCAAGGAAAAAAAAAAGAAAGAAAGAGAAAACAATGTAACAGAAGTGAAATGAAGGATATTTTTCACTATTTCTTTTCTTTTTCTGTATTTGCCCCCAAAACCAATGATGAGTATCAGCCACCTCCCCTACCTCCCCAGTAAAGGTAAGCTTACCAAGGCAGGGTCATCATGTTTATAGAGTGTCACTGCAGGAACAGCTGGCAGACCCAGCCACGGGCCAGGAGTCATCGTCATGCTGTCACATTTGGTTGCAGCCTGCCAAGAGAAGAACAACTCTTTGTTAGATAATCAGAATACAAGAGACCCAACACCCTCCTCCGTTCACAAAAACGGTGAACAGCCATCAGGGGTTGAGTGATTTTAAATTCCTTCTTAAAAACACCAATATTTAGTAAATCAACAACATACCAGCACTGATGAAGAAACATAACCTAGAGCCAACGTTGCCAGATTCACACTGGAAGAAAAAACACCAGTCTAAGAACTAATGATTTAATGTTGCTTATTCACTAAGTATGTACTTTTTAAAAAAAAAAAAGGCTGTGCTGTTGCAAGTCTCCCAGCTACATTGTTAAGTTTTTCAAACAACGACTGAGGATGTGGTGTACACAAACTTTAGGAAATCCTTGGAAATGTATCTCATCGAAATGTATCAGGGACACCCCGCTCATCTAGTGTGACAGGAAGCACTACCCTCTAACACTCATGCTCCTACTATCTAGTCATCATTTTCTCTTTTTTTTTGAGTAGGAGTCTCACTCTGTCACCCAGGCTGGAGTGCAGTGGCATGCTCTCGGCCACCCCAGCATCAACCTGTTGGGCTCAGGTGATCCTTCAGCCTCAACCTTCCAAGTAGCTGGAACTACAGGTACACACTACCATGCCTGGCTAATTTTTTGATTTATTGTAGAGATGAGGTCTCACCAAGTTGCCCAGGCTGGTCTTGAACTCCTGAGCTCAGGCAACCCTCTCATCTCGGCCTTCCAAAGTGCTGGAATTACAGGCTTGAGCTACCATGCCTGGCCAGTCATCATTTTCTTAGGGATAAAGTACAAAAAATCTCCTGTGTGACGAGGTGGATGTGGGCTACCTGGTTGCCCGAGACTCCCCCTTCTCTGAGCAGCATCCAGCAGCCACCCTGGTCTCATCCATCAAACCACAAGCTCTGATGGGAGGAGACTCCACCGCCTGCTCCAGCGGGGGGGCAAATAACAACACTAGCAGCCATTACTTTCCTGGCCACAGTGACTGGTTCAATACAAGCCTTTTCTTGGGGCTTCTGTCCGCTGAACACAAAGCTGGAAGGAAGGCTGGAGTTTCTGCAGCTACACCTGTTATAGTAATAGTAGGAGTCAGTCCACAGACCAAGGCAACACAGAGGAAATCAAGCCAAGTGGCTGTGACTGGAGAGGAGACACTGAATCCTAGGGACAGTGCACTGTGCCTGGGGACAGCCTAAAACTGGTCTTTTTAATCATGTGAGCCAAGAGAATCTCTCTGCTGATGCCGATTTGGGTTATTTTGTTATGTCGGTGGTAAACATGACTACCAGGCGACAGCCCAGATGCCCAGTCTGCATGGGACTGCATGCAGGTCCATATGGACTCCACCTTGCCATCCTCACCCCTCCACATGGAGCCACATGCCGTACTGCTCACAGAGCTCTTTCAAGCGTCCGATCTTGTCCGTGTGTCCAACTGCTGAAGTTCCTAGGAGAAAACAAACAAGGGTCTCAGTCTTTACAGCATAAGAGCTTCTATACACATTATCTCCCTAGGAGGGAAGGACAGTATAGTCCTGTCTTAGTGAGATTTTTGCGGATTGATTTCAAATCAACTTTAGCATGTTGATTTACACAAGTTTTGAAAAAACTATGTATCCTCCACTGGATATATCTAATTGTGTTATTGAAATATTTTATTTTATTTTTTTGAGTAGGAATCTCACTGTCACCCAGGCTGGAATGCAGTGGCATGCTCACAGCCTCTGCAGCCTTGGCCTGCTGTACTCAGGTGATCCTTCCTCCTTAGCCTTCCAAGTAGCTGGAACTACAGGTGTGTACCACCATGCCCAGTTAGTTTTTCTATTGTAGAGACCAGGTCTCACAAAGTTGCCCAGGTTGGTCTCAAACCCCTGGGCGCAGAAAATTCTTTTTTTTTTTTTTTTGAGTTGGAGTCTCACTCTGTCACCCAGGCTAGAGTGCAGTGGCACCATCACAGATCACTGCTGCCTCGACCTGCTGGGCTCAGGTGATCCTTCTGTCTCAGTCTTCCAAGTAGCTAGGACTACAAGTACGGTGACCACACCCAGCTAATTTTTTTATTTCTGTAGAGACAAGGTCTCGTTATGTTGCACAGCCTAGTATCGAACTCCTGGGCTCAAGCAATCCTCTCACCTCAGCCTCCCAAGGTGCTGGGATTACAGGCATGAGCCACTGCGTCTGGCCTGAAATCTTTTATATGTGTATTTTCTTTTTACCTGACCTGCTGATTCATGAGAAATATATTCACATTTCCCACCAACATTTGTGGGTTTGTCAATTTATACTTGTATTCTATCAGTTTTTCTTTTGGTTTTCCTTTATATGTTTCAAAGCTATATTCATAAGCACTGATAAGTGCTATTTCTTTTAGAGGATTATATTGTTGATCAATATGAAGTCAACTTTATCTCACACTAATCTTGCTAGAGTACTTTTGTTTTGTAAGCGTTTGCCCAAGATATCCAGTCCTCCTGGATTATGTGATTTAGATGTCTCCTTTATTTTAAAAAAAAACAAACATAGATAAGGCTAAGCATAGTGGATCACGCCTGTAATCTCAGCACTTTGGGAGGCAGAGGCGAGTGGATTGCCTAAGTTCAGAAGTTTGAGACCAGCCTGAGCAACATGGCAAGATCCCTTTCCACCCCCTGCCTACAATAAACAAAAAATTAGCTGGTGTGGTGACACATGCCTGTAGTCCCAGTTACTCAGGAGGTTGAGGGAGAAAGATTACCTGAGCCCAGCAAGTCAAGGCTGCAGTAGCTGTGATCATCGTGCCACCACACTTCAGCCTGGGTGACAGAGTGAGACTCCAACTCAAAAAAAAAAGAGCGAACTTGGGATTTTTTCATCCTCGTTCTTTGTTCCTACAGCACATGCATTCTGAAGTCAACTGAAACATACTCAAAACTTTACGGCACTCCCTTGGTAATCTGACTACAAGACGACCTTGCTGGGCAGAGCCCTTTCCAGACCAAGCTTAAGCAAAGCATGGAGTCACACATTCCCCCAACTGGCCTAAATCTCCAGTTAGCAGCATGTCAAATAAGATCTCAACCCCTCACAACTGCCTCAACAAACACAACTAGAGAACATGGTTCTTCTGCAAGGCCTGTGTCAGGAAAAGGGCTGAAAACTTTCTCCCTCATACACACATCTATCTCAAATTAACAAAATCATAACTGACACATTTAGTTTAGTTGAAACGAGATCAAATGCCAATGCACAGGTTGCACTACATGACCCTCCATCAAAATAAAAGCACAGTGCTATGCTTTACTGACGGGATCATATTTGGAGTCCCTGGCAAGGTCTGCTGACTAACCTTGGAGATGTTTGTGTCTTCTGACACCTGCAATGCAGTCACACTGGTAGGTCACTCACTCACATGCAAACTGCAGCCCCTCCAGCCTACCGAGTGATTGGATATGGGTGGCTGTGTGTTGCTTTTTTAAAATTTGAGTTGGAGTCTCACTCTGTAGCCCAGACTGGAGTGCAGCGGCACACTCCCAACCACTGCAGTCTTGACCTGCTGGGCTCTGGTGATCCTTCCACCTCAGCCTTCCAAATAGCTGGAACTATAGGCGCGTGCTACCACGCCCAGCTAATTTTTGATTTATTGTAAAAACGAGGTCTCACCAAGTTGCCCGGGTGGGTCTTGAACCCGCAGGCTCAGGCAATCCACTCGCCTTGGCCTCCCAAAGTGCTAGGATTACAGGCTGAGCCACCGAGCCCGGCCAGTTTTTGTTTTTTAAACAGCTTTATTGTGGTATAATTTATGCCAATAAAATTCACTCATTTAAGTGTGTAAGTTCAATGGGTTTTGACAAATGTATAAAATATGTAGCAGTCACCAACACAATCAAGATATAGAATGTTTCTATCACCCCTAAGTCCCCTCATCCCCACTCAAGTCACTCTTCTTCCCCCTCCTCACTGGCCCCAGACAATCCTGATCTGTTTTGCCACTGTAGCTTCTCTTTTCTGGAATTCCATATTAATGAACTCACACATTATGTGATGCTTTGTGTCTGGCTTTTCTACTAAGCACACTTTTGAGATTCATCCATGTTGACATGTGTATCAGTTCTTTCCATTTACTGCCTAATATCCCATTAGATGGTTACACCACAATTTGTATTCACCAGATGAAGGTCCTCAGGGTTGTTTCCACTATGAACATTTAGCATGAACATTTTTGCGTGGAGAGATGCTTTTCATGTTTCTTTGATAAATGCCCAGAAGCGGGACTAGTGAGTCCTATGGCAATTCTATGTTTAGCCTTTTAAGAAACTGCCAGGTTAGGCCAGGCATGCTAGCCTACAATCCCAGCACTTTGGGAGGTCGAGACGAGAGGATTGCCTGAGCCCATGGGTTCAAGACCAGTTTAAGCAACTTGGTGAGACCGTGTCTCTACAAAACATCAGAAAATTAGCCAGGTGTGGTGGCACATGCCTGTAGTACCAGCTACTTGGGAGGCTGAGGCAGGAGGATTGCCTGAACCCAGCAGTTTGAGGCTTGGTGGCTATGAGTGTGCCACTGCACTCCAGACTAGGTGAGAGAGTGAGACTGAGAAAGAAAGGAAAGAAAGGAAAGGAAAGGAAAGGAAAGGGAAGGGAAGGAAAGAAGGAAGGAAGGAAGGAAGGAAGGAAGGAAGGAAGGAAGGAAGGAAGGAAGAAAGAAATTGCCAGGCTTTTCCAGAGTGGCTGTACTGTTTTGTATCCCACCAACCATGCCTGAGAATTCTAGGTGCTCTGCAACTTCACCAGCATTTGGCACTGGTTTGTAACATTTTCTTCTCTTCATTGTAACATATGCAGTAGTAGCTCTCTGTGGTTTTAATTTGCATTTCTCAATGACTGATAACTGTCCTTTCTCCCTTGAATTACTCTGGCATCTTTGTAAAAAAAAAATTAAGGGATCAGATATATCACAAGAGCCTATTTCTGAACTATTTATTCTCTTCGATTAATTTCACAGTCTTGATTATTTGTAGCTTTATAGAAAGTCTTGAAGGGAGACAGAGTAAATCTTTTGTTTTTCAAAATTATTTTGACTACTCTTCGATCCTTTGTATTTCCACGTAAATTTTAAAATCAGCTGATCAATTTCTACAAGACACTGCAGCCTATTGAGATTTTTAACAGGGACTGAGTTAAGTAGATTAGACTTAACAATACTTAGTCTCCAGCCCACGTGCGAGGCATAGCATTCCGTTTGTTTGGATCTTCTTGAATTGTTCTCAGCGACACTCTTGTTGTTTTCAGTGTATAGGCCTTGCATATAGTTTGTTAAATTTATCCACAAACTTTTCATGTTTTCTGATGCTATTATACATGACAATTCAATTCAATTTCCAATTGTTCACTGCTAGTATACAGAAATCCAGAAACTTGCTAATTAGTTCCAGTAGCTTTTCTTTCATTTCCTTAGGATTTTCTATACAATCACACAGGTGGTAGTTGATCCACTATGCACAAGGAGAATATTTAAGTGTGACATTTTATGGACTTTCTCATCTAATTTTTACAACAATCCCAAAATGTCTGTTTCTTCCCTTCTTTCCCTCCCTCTCTCCCTTCCTTTCCTTCCCTTCTTTGCATCTTTCTCATCCCTCCCTCCCTCCCTCCCTCCCTTCTTCATTCATTCATTGAGATGTTGTCCAGGCTAGTCTCAGACTCCTGAGCTTAAGCAATCCTCTTGCCTCAGCCTCCTAAGTAGCTGGGACTACATGCTGCCTGGCTTAAGTGTGACATTTAATAATCCAGTTTATTTTATTATTATTGTTGTTATTGTTATTTTTGAGACAGGGTTTTACTCTGTCACTTGGGCTGGAGTGTAGTGTCATGATCACAGTTCACTGCAGCCTCGAACTCTTGGGCTCAAGCAATTCTCTGCCTCAGCCTCCTGAGTAGCTGGGAATATATGCTATACCACACCTGGCTAATTTTTACAATCCTCCCACCTGAGCCTCTCAAAGTGCGGGGATTAGAAGTATGAGTCACTGTGCCCAGCCATAATTTAGTTTAGATAGGAAGTAAGTACATGAAGGAGAAGACAGAAAAGCATTTATAACCAGAATGAAAACGTATACACACACAGAATAACTTCCAAAACAAGCCAACAATGAAAGAAAACCTGAGGAGACAACTTTACTATTATAGTAATAGTTTCTACCACAATACTGCAATACAGACTGTCCTTAAATGTGGGGCACACAAGCATTTCTTAGGACTTGGTCTTTTTTAGGCTAAGTACTTGACCTCCCTCTTATGAATCTAAAGTGTAAGATTCAGGTTTATGACACCTACCAGCATTTGCAACAAGCAACAGGGGCAGTTTCCCTCGTTCTGTATCATCTTTAATCAGTTTCTCCAGGAAGGCAACATCCTGGAACCAAAAAATAAACCATAAAAAAGTGAGGCATTCAGTATCACAGTTATACAATGGAAAAATATGACTTCCAGAAGAAGCAGATGACACCCACAATTAATCAGGCCTCACTCGACAATTTTTCTCTAATCATAAATGTGAAGATCAAATCGTTTTTCTTGAAGACTAGGATAATCAATTAAAAGAGATTAAAGGTAAAAACTGGATGTATGCAAGAACAACACGTTTCTAGCTTTAAACATTTACATTTAAATAAACTGTTCTCTCAACACCCCACAACAGCCAAAAATGTATCTCTATTATTACTCACTGATGTAAGTGAACTAGAAAATGAAACCACTTTGAAAAAAGGAATTCTGAGCCCTAAAATCTGTCCCTTCCTTTTTCTGGATTCAGTACAGAGGTTTATCATTTATCTAAAAATAGGTGGAACTCAATCCCATGATTACAATGAAAAACCTCGTTTTCAAAATCTGCCCATTTCCAAATCCAGGCAGCAGTGATAACTCCTTCAAAGTATGAGCGTCAGAAGGAATTTCCGGTGCTTCAGTGAACTGCCATGTTTGTACTTAAAGCAGGTGACGTGGTGGTTACAGGACTCCCTAAGAGGCAGGTGCTCCTGACCAATACGCCAGCAAGCTTCACGGATGTTCACACAGAAGCACGTGCTACACAGTGGAAAGGCCTAAGCAGTAAATACCTAAGCTGCAAATTATCTGGAGGCCAGCAAGCAGAACTTCATTTGAAAGGAGACAGGTTCAAAACATAACTCCAAGTTATTTTAAAAACCAAAGGCAGAACTCACCATCTGATGCTGAGATCCAAACACTGTGTTACAGGGCACACGGCACAGGCAGGGGAAGGGTAGGCCGAGCTGCAAGAGGAAACGCAACTTTACAGGAAGGGACTTTGCACCATCCACTTATGATGTGAGAAAGAGTGTGATGCTGAGACAAACCACATTGTTCTTTTAAAAAACCTCTCTCCTTAGGAATTCTTAATATTATACATAGATGTTAAATTACACTTTGAAAGTCACATCAAAAAAAGGGTGAATTTCCAAGTGCCTTATAAGAGGATTCAATAATAATTTTCTAAATGAGTCAAGTAACTATCTTTGGTATATTCTAGAATATATTAAAAAACAAAAATACTTTTTCAAACAAAAAAACTGGGCCCTGAACACTTTGAGGGGTAATTTAGAATTCTTCCTCCAAGCACCACTGATAAATAACAATAGCTAAAGGCATTCAAAGATCAGTATCTTATTTATGGGTCCACCAAAAAGTTATACATATGCATTAGCAGATATACATTTCTTTTTTTCTTTTTTTTGAGTTGGAGTCTCACTCTGTTGCCCAGACTGGAGTGCAGTGACATGCTTCCGGCTACCACAGCCTCGACCTGCTGGGCTCCGGCGATCCTTCCACCTCAGCCTTCCAAGTAGCAGGAACTACAGGCGTGCGCTACCA